CTACCAATCCACTTTCCAATATGTGCCTCCTCCCAGTATAGAGTTTTCCAGCAATATCAGCACCTATTAAAATCTCTATAGGAGACGCATCACCCAAGTCCGACAGTTTTATATTAAACATACCAAGTTCTTCTATCCAGGGACCATTAAATATGGAAGAGACGTCGCTACATATAACGTTTTGATCTAGTGCCTCAAATGTGTAACTATAATTGTTATGAAACACTCTAACATCATAGCAATCATGTTTTTGTGCTAATTGGTTTCCTCCAAACAATCCATGTACTAGATTAATCTGTCGTTTACTAGGATAACCCAAAAGTTTAGCTGTAGATTTCAAAATGTACGTTTTTTGCGATCCGGTATCTATAAGAGCACGTACAACTCGCGACTTGTCTAAATAGTTTATTTCAATACGCAGAGTTTGCAAAAAAACATTCGTATTAGCACTATTAGCGAGCGTCTGTTCAATTCTTGGCACGGAAATGCCATCGTTTTCTTTCTGCTCTTCTGTATCCTGCTTTACCCGGTGTCTTGAAAGTTCAGTGCACATTAAAGGTACATGCGATTTAGAGCAAATTAAACAACTTAATTGACTGCGACATTTTCGAGACTGATGCCCAATTTTCAAACAACGAAAACACGCGCCTTTTTCTGTCAAAATATTTTTCCTTTGGTCATAAGTTAATTTCTGTGCTTTAAAACAGTGGCTGCTTTCATGCGAATTCTGACAAAAAACACATTTATAGATAGTGTGAGAATTAACTAAACCCATCGCGGAAGGAGACTTGTGCTTGTTTTCCTCGTGTCTCCTTGTTTTTGGACCTGTAGATTTAAAATCTTCGGTTTTAGCAGCATGCAAATGGAAATTCTCGACTGCTAAAGAAAGGTGCTGTTCATTGTCAACTTCCTTTTTCAAGAACAACATTAAACTCTGAAGTCGATTTTCGATGCTTGCGATGCCGGCAGAATTAAGTGACGCTTGTGATCCGATACTTTCTGGCAATCGTTGCCAAACTCTTAATAAATCTGAAGATAGACAGGATTCAACTAAAGGAAATAACATAGCCGCGTATTTATCCGACTTAATACCGAGTGTTTCCAGAACCCTCAACTGAGTCTCTAATTTGTCGTATAACAAGGATAGATCTAATTTATTGCCAGACGCAGTATTATTTATTACTAATTTAAGTAATTCCCGTACATAAACTTTGATCTGCAAGTCATCCCGACCGAAACGCGAAATAAGACAGTCAATCATAGCATCATAATTACTTCCAGTGGCGGGAAAACTATCCACTAGTTGCCTAGCTCTACTACCCGGTATAGTAGCTTGAATCAAATATTCGACCTTGTCGTTCGGATCTATGTCAGGATCATGATGAACTTTTTGAAATTGTGACCAAAAAGGCAACCAGTTTTTAATATTCCCGTCGAATTTTTTGAACTCTAATGTAGGTAATTTAAATTTTCGCTTACCGCGTCTGCTGTCTAAACTACTCCTATCATCAGATATCCTAGAAGCTACCTCACCTTCCACTGCACCTGTCACTATTGACTGCATACGGTCTTCGAACTGCATACTGAGATCCAAAAACTTCTTGCTATAGTTGTCACTACACTCAATTTCTGCTAAAAGGTCTTCTTCACTAGCGTCTTCACTTAGTAATAGACCGTAGATTTCTTCATCACTTTTCCTTAGGTCTTCAATTTTTTGGCGTAATAGATCCAAGGAAACTTTAATTGATCGTATCTCACCCTCCGGCGCCGACAAAAGCTTATCCATTTCATTCGCCGTCCTCGTGAAGGTGCTACGGAGCACTTTGCGATGTTTCTTCTTTTGATCCATTTTTCTCTGCAAACTTGGTCAAAACCACACACGTTTACCGAAAGTTACAGGCGAAACGCGATAAAGTTTGTCCGGTGATCGTCAATTCAATTTTGTTACACCTCGTATACAACCACGATTAATTTTATGGAAACAGTCCTGTCACGGTCGCCAAATATGTCAAGTGTGTACCAACGCAATTCTACCCGAATTTGCGTATAAAATACACGGTTCGTATATTACAAAATTAAACTTCAAAATTATTGAAAATCTATATTTGCCAGTTCCCAACAAAACATATCGCGTGCTTTTAAAAAATGATGTAACAAAAATTATCACTTATAAGCATCAATCTATACATACACAAAATTTAAAAAATATTACGCCACGGATACCGACCGTTCAGCGCTCAGATTCTTCGTCAACTGTTTGAACCTCATCAATTTTTATTACACCACTTACGCGTTAAAATAAAGAAAATAAATTGAAGTGATGGCGATAAAATATAAAAATTATTGCCGACAAGTGGAAAGATTGTTATGATTTAAAAAGGTTTTATAGCTAAAGCTTTCTTTGAATTTTAATAAGAGATTTTTAACTTCAGCATTTAAAGCGGTATACAAACAAAATAATTATCAAATGGCTGTGACAGTATTGTTATTATAACACATTAAAAAATCAATAATAAGCAGATATAAAATTTCATTAACCTACATTATAGTAATAACACGCTATAAGAAGTATTCACTTCAGTCAAGTGTCACACTCTTTTTTTGCTGTTTTGTTATAATTTACAGTGATGTTGACTTATGTTTTAGAAATAATGTAGATAATTAAACAAAACCTTTAATAAAGATTTTTCAAACTGAATCTGTAATATGTTTTCCCTAATACTCATACAATAAAGATTACAATACATTATCAAGCCTTATAATTATTTTTATTATATAAAGTGTACAGTATAATCAACAAAAAATAGTATATAACAATAAATACATTGAACAAATATTGGATTCAGCCTATAAAACAAAAGCAGCTGTAGACATGTGTTTCTGTCTCTTAGTACAACAAAGTTACCTTACAGATGTTGGTAAATGTAGCGAATAAGATTATTCAGAAAAAAGTGTACAAAGAAATACTGATGGAAAAAGTAAAGAAGTGACACAACGACCAACTGTTAATTTGTGATTTTTCTCTGAATTGCTGATATGGTTGTTAATTAAATTCAAATATTACCTATCAGAATTAAAATGGGCTAAAATAAATTTCCATGAAAGAGTGTTTATTCCTTCATATTTACTGCAAAATGCAGTATAAAATTTAGCTCAGCTGATGTTTGTCTCAGATCAGAATTTTTTATGTTTCAAGAATGCTCTTAATTCAAAATATTAAAAATACATATCTGTTTATAAAAATACCTACTTACCTAATGAAGCAGCACAATCATAACACTTTAGATCAAGTACTTCCTCGGTTTCTTCATTAATTTCACAACTTACAGCATACTGTTTTTTCTTAATATTATGTTCAGGTGTTATTTTTGCCCTTACAGTACAGATCATGTTATTTCTTTTTACTTGAACCCATCCTACAGCTGCATCTCCATATGATTCTCTGCCAGATCTAAATGCAAACGATGAATAAGTTAATTTGATTAAATTTCAGTACAATAGCATAAACATATATTGACCCTACTTAATATAAAGTACTAAGTTTTATCATTAAATACTTATTATGAGAATAATAATCTCAATAAAATTAATGCAATAGGAGTATATGTACTTACTTATCTGCTTTAACTCCCCAAACTTCTCCCAGGGAAAAATTTTCACGGTTTTGAAAATATGTGGCTACCATAAACATATTTACAATGGGCAAGTTATCAGACTGGCCTTTGGAAAAACCCTCTTCGGTCATTTTAAAAAATATATCTGAACAAAAACACTCAAATATTATTAAATATATAGTTCACAGCAACTATCTAAAGATTTATAAAACTGAAATACACCATAAAATTACTATATATAACAAGTAAACGAATGTCAAACGTAATGAATTAATAGTGCGCCAATCAGCAATCTTTGAACATTCGGACTATATGACGTCACGACCAATGAGGCCGCGTTTTGGACTGGCTGCTATAATTTGAATTTTCTCTTGATTTTAATCGTTTTTAGGGGCCAAACTAAAGACAAAAACAACTTTTTTTTGTTTGATCTATATTTTAAATTATGTTTTGTTATGATTAAGGCATTTTTTTCGAATTTAAAATTTTAGGCAAGTTCCCTATTATACAATACCCATCCATAGGTAAGAAGAAAGGAGGTTAGGCAATACCTTGGCAGTTGCAGCGTTGCAATACTTATCGTTTTTACCCGTTTATAGGGATGACCAACGGACGGTGTGACGTCACAACCGCTGAAGTTTTAATTGCTTATATTTATTTCATAATTATAAAATATGAGTTTTTTTGTAAACTGGGGTTCTCTTAACAGCATTAAATAACGTTTATCAATAATATTTTTGAAATTTAATTTTTATGCAAGTTCCCCATTATATACATAATATATAAAATTTGCTAATAATCAAAAAACTGATACTTCTTCATATGTAACTTTTACAAATAAAAACATTTAACCAGTTCTACTCACTTAGTCAATGGAAACTTTATAACAAAGATTTATTGGAATAATTTATTTTTGAATATAGGCATGAACTAGAACTATTATAATACCTAGACACTTTATATGTAACAATAATAAAATATTGGTAGGTACTGCTAGAATGTCAAAGATTATCTTTTATTAAGAAAGAGGTGGATGATTATTTGTAATAGTAGAAAATGTTATAAAGCTTCATTGTCCAGCAAAGACCAACGAGGAGGTTTGAGTATTCTTTGCCAGGATAGGAAAGGGAAAGGTATGTTAAATAGGATGGAATGTGAACTTAAATAATCACAATTCCTTAAATAAAATACACAATAAATCATAATACCTAATTAACTTCAAAATAGAAACTAAATTCAACTAATAGTTCAAACTATAATGTTCATTATTTAAACTACAAACAATACCATCCATTTCACATGTAAACTTGCTGACTGGTATAAACCTATTATCTGATGTTCACTTGGATTTGAAAACAATAATTTCTTCTCTTTCTTCTTCTTCTTCACAACTTCTTTCAATTAAACATTTGTAAAAACAATTGATCAGGAAAAACGTAATTTAAATATTGATGGTAACTGTTTCACTTCTTGAGGGCTTCGAAATATGCATATTGACTTAAAACCATAATTTAAAGGTAATCATGATCGCTATTGATGTCCAAGGTACTGCTGATCGTCACTGTTTCATTTCCTGAGGGTTTCGAGATATGTACTTTGACTTTCTTACTCTTCTTTTTGGTAGAAAAGAAAGACATCTGCTTCTTCAATTTCTTATTTGATGGTTCTGCAATACAAACAGTAAATTGTATGTATGTTTTAAATATACTTTTTGAATTAGGTATTTTGATTTTGACAAGAAAAACTCACAACTAACTAGAAACTCTAGAAATTTAAAATATACAAATGCACTGATGAATACCTGATGAAATTGATGGAAATGAATTTGTCACAGATTCATTATTACTCCTGGATAAAAGACTGTTCGCAGTTTTCATTGTTTTGAGGATATGTGGGAGTACCAATGGTTGTAAATTATGCTCCTTGCATAAATTAATATTAACATTCATTTTATTTATTTCCTCCTGTATTTTGTGTTTTGTACTGTCTTGTGTATTACAGCTTTTAGCTAAAGTTCTCAAACATTGTAAAGTTTCAGCAGTTGTGGTCAAGGTAACTTCAGGAGAAATTCGAGGTTCATCATTACTTCTGGTGTTTAGAATTATGTAATGTATGTGCTTACATATTGTGGCTCTAATATAAAAATCGGTACATGTACATTCATATTCATGAACACATGCATTACAAAACGAACATCTTAATTGACAATTTGGTACTTCACATGCAGTATCTTTTTTTGACACTACATATGTGGTATTATTTAACTGTATGGTCCAAACATTTGCTTCATTAAAAATTATTTCATATGTACTAGTTAAAGCAGCCCGATGACGTTTATGAATATCTTGTATATGACAGTTGTTAATGCCTTTGCTGATTTTAATAATTCTTGAAACTATTTTATCTCTTACATACTTCAATACAGCTGTTATACCTTTGTCTAATCGTTTTACAACTTTTCCATCCAAATAGTGGTACTTAAGAGTTTTATGCATGCTTTCAAGAATCTAAAATCAGACATAATTATTAGTAAACAATTAAAAAGTAACTTAGAGAAAATTTATATTGTTAATTTTAATTATTATTTTGGTGTCTACAGGAATATTATTTTGGATAATGCAAGAAACAGAAAACTACAAACTATGTTCTACATCATACATTTAGAATTAGTTAGAAAATAACAAAAAATTGATGATGATTGATCAATGAAATGATTGAATTTTATTTTATTTTAATTATATAAATATATAGAATTATATAAATATAATTCTATATTAATTATAATTTACAAATACAATGAAAACTACTTTAGAAAAGAGAAGTTTGAAACACTCATGCATAAAAAAATAAACCATAACCATATTTGTATTGATACCACAGCCTTTCCTGTAACAGTAAGCCCACATCTGACGATTTCTTGTATAATTATCATTAAAATAAGTGGCAAAATTTTGTGTTACAGGATCATCCAATAACACTTTAACTGCAGCAGAAAATCTTCTTTCAAACTCTGGTATGTTCAAAGTATTTTGCAATACCTTGAGTGTTTGGTAAACTTGTTTCCTTTTTTCAGCAACTGTTATTTTATTCAAATTAGTTCTCCAAGCTCTGTCTATATGCCAGGAACAAAATAAGCGATTTGGAACTTCACCACCCATGACATTATACCAAGCATTATAATATACATTTGTAATGTCTGACATAAATACTTTAGGGTTTAAAACTCCACACCTCTCTCTAATGTGTTCAAAAAATATTTCATGTACAACTGTATCTATTCTGTTTGAAAACATACATGCAGCTGGAAAACCTTCACCAAATTCATCCATAACCATCAGTGTAGTTAATTCAAAATCGTACATGTTTAATCCATGTGTACTATCAATAGCAATAACAGAATTACCAAATTTTTGTACAATATTCTCCTGTACTTTGTTCATTATAACAATACAAAAGTCCATATCCTGTAATCTCGAAAATGTTTCTCCTTGTTTCTTATACAACAAAATCTCATTGCCAACTTCTTTACATTCTTGTACTAACAAATCAACACTAACACTATCATTTTCATGGCGCACACCATCCTGTATATTAATATGGTATGCCGTCTTAATATTATTAATATCTTTTCTTGTAATTAAGTCAGTTCGTGATAGTTTATCTTCTACAAAGTTATTTCTAACGGTATCCAAAACTCTAAAAATACAATGGATTACACATAGGTATTTAATAAACTATAATCAGATCTTACCTTGTTACTGCAATTCCATGTGTTAATTTTGTTGCAATGTCTATACGAGTTTGTTTAGGAATACGAATATGCTGAACTTCAAAAGCATGCCCGTAATGAGTTTTATGGTAAATAACACAATATCTACCATCAGTGGAATGTGTTAAAATAATCTGACTTGTACATTTACTACCAATTTTACATGAACCTTGACTTTTTGCAGCCCTCTCCTGATACTTTGGTTTGTAGGATCCTACAATAAGTTTGCAAAGTGTTTAAAATGAAGAAAACATTGGAATCGTGCTATGTGACCTACCTGATCGGTTACAGCTGAAGTAGACTGTTTTTTCATCTAGTCGTTTATGACGAAAAAATCCCAACGTATCATTTTTACAAATATCATTCAACCAGGAATCGAATTCTAAAATTGCATAAAAAGAATGCTAAATTATGTAACAACAAGTTTACAAAAGACTACTTAAAACCCACCTGTAATATCTGAAAAATTCAGCACTTCAGTTTCCATATCCTTATTATGAATAGTTTGTAGATGATGTCTCAACTCTGCGGTGAACCTGTAAGAAGTATTGCAATTTTCCTCCAAGCACTTACTATCAAATTGCTCAAAATTATAAGCAACAATAATTTTTTCTTTTTGTGTCTTTTTGTGTACATTTTTCAAGTGCCTATTAAGGGAACTCTGCGTAGAAAAATGTTTGCAGCAAATTTCACAAACTAATGCCATTTTCAATACCAGCTAGTAATTATAAAAACTCTGGTTTGTATGAGAAAGCAATAACACAATATTACGCTTGAAGAAAAACAAGCGAATTTAACATTAACATTAAGGTTAGGGCTGCTGGGATGAGTTCTGTCTGTCTGTGAGTTTGATCTCACCTTACTAGACTACTTCATTGTAGGAGGCCATAAAAACTATGAAGAAGAGAATACATGGCAACGTCGCGGTACGGGAGTACATATTTAGTCGCTCCTCTTTTTTGGTCTCCTTTTCATAACGATTAGATTCCCTCTTTTATCTTTTTGCTCGAAGATTGTGACTGTCTCATGCTTGCCAACGCAGCTTCATATTATTGAAACATGAACTATTTCCGTATCAATGGCGTACGATTGTGTAATATATTTAATTAATATTATTTTTTTTGGATAATTAAACTTAAAACAATTGTTGCATAAAATTTAAATTATTGATAATAAGAAATGTTTTTGTATATTTATTCAATATAATTCAAAAATTCTGAATGTAATCACGATTATAGTATTTATAAAGTCAATTGAAACACCCAAAAAACTAGTTGCCGACAAACCTTAAAAGAATAATATCATATTACCAGACATGGGCGTATCATTTATTTCTATAATCAAATATAGATTAATGAAGAACAGAAAAAGCACGATTTTAATTTACTTAAAGCTGTCGTAAAGTACATAAGTGTATACAAAAGTTTTTAATATGTCATATTAAGCTACAAAAATAATTTATAATTAAAGGGCAATAGGCCATATTGACAGTATCATGATTTAATTATACTTCGTAAAATAATAAACATTTTAGGTGTACAGCACTGGTATGATTCAACAGAGTTTCTTATCTGTACCCTTCGCCACCGGCTAGAAGGTTACCTCCAAGTAGCGTGTTAAATATTGGTGATTTTGAATAACATATCAATGTGCAATATTTATTTGATGGGATGTATCTTTCATTCCCTCTTTCTTCGATCTATTTCCTACGAACTACGGGGATTGTTCAAATGCGTTTGAAACAGTGACGCGTGTTATTTATACTTTAACTTGATTACCGGTAGATGTAATATTGAACTGCCCTTATAAATTGAGTCGGAGAGAAATGTTTCAACTGACTTTATAAATACTATACATTTTTCTTATTAGAATATCATGTTGGCGCCTATGAAAGATCGAGCAGTTCCGTATGGGTTTCGTATTATTAGCTGTGTTAGGAAAAATTGAATTTTAAGGTTGATGTTCTGGAAATTTTAAATACAAGTGACGTCACTTTATATAAATCGTGACGTGCAAGCTTTTTTATCTGAAAAATACTGTAATAATAATTGGCTGTATAACTAATATGTCAAAATTATTTTGAAAGCGAATTGCCAAGTATACCTACTTATCACGGTTCCTAGACTTACTCCGGTTGCCTCTTCCGCCTAACCAATAAACATTAAGCTGAACTGTACTCCTGTGACGTAATTTGAATCGTAACATTCAGCCCTGTGATTGGATGGATGAATCAAAACAAAAATGTTTTATAAATAAAATAAATGTTAAATAACGTGCACGTTAACCTGCATTTACGTTATATTCTAAAAATTGATGTGATGTATCATGTATCACAGATAACGTTTGTAAAAAAAAAAACGTTATGTGGTAACGTTTTACGTTATCTTGCTAACATAATATATTATATTCTCTGATAACAGGTTCAATTTAAAGAGATAATTTAATCTCATACTGGCAGACCTATAGAACAAGTGCCGAGGAACTGACAGAAGATTAGTGACAGATCTGTATTTGGCGGTGTTGCCATATCACAAATAAATCCTTGAAAGAGCATGCGATATAATATTAATTAATGTTCAACATTTTTTAAAGTTTTTGAAAGAAGTTTAATTCATTAAAATTTAATTTATTATAATTTAAATTAACTTTAATTTTTTAAGCTTTTAAATTCTTAAGTTATTAAATTTAATTAAACATCTTTACCGATATATTTTTACTTTGTTATTCACATTTTAAGGATTAAGATGTCAATAATGATAATTTAATCTCTGCAATGTAAATTTGAAAAAATATCGATCTGAACAAGCTCCAGTAACTAGCTAATACATTAACAAAACGATATTCAGGTACCATTTCACCCCAAAATTATAAGAAAATAGTCATAAAAATCATAAAATTGAAATCTGCTAAAAATCTGTTGCAATCTGGCAACTACTGTTTTCAAAATTTTGACAGTATTGCCAAGTTTATTTACTAATCTACCAAAGGCCAATTATAATTTTTTTTTTCTAATAACTAACTGCAACTAATATCAAAAGAAACAAATATTCATTCGTTCATGTTTCATATAAATTCAAAAAATTTAAAAAAATACCCGATTTCATAAAATAATATAATAAAAATGTACTGTTTCAAAGCATATTTGAGGCATAAAACATACACATAATAAGGACATGGCAATACCGCAGACACAAATTTGACATGACGTTTATGTCAAATTCTCGGCACTTATTCTATAGATTTGCCCTCATACTATTTGCATAGTATAAAAAAGAAATAGTATGGACACTCGACAGGCGGGAAAAAGTACGCGCATCATTTAGCGCAGGCCATATCGCCATATTGAAAACAGACCGAACGCTAGTGACACCCGACTGGTATTAATGTAACGTGTAGTCGAGTCATCTGTCGTGATTTGTTTGTTTATATCTTTATCGTCGAGTTTTATTTTTCGTTTAATTAAGTCTAAAAAACTTGGGGATATTAATTTCATTTTAAAATTATTTTTATAAAAATTTAATTTATATAATTTAATAATTGTTTAACAATATTTAATAATTATTTAATATTTAGTTTTAGTATTTATGTTATGGTTAGGATATTTTATGTTGTTAATTGTTTTGTAAAAAATGGAAACATCCCGTTAATAAATAAATAAGTACTAATTCTGGTTTTATTCGCAAAAAAAATAAAGTAATTGATATTTCCAGTTAGGAAAATGGTAACCTTTACAACTGAACATAAAATTCAAATTATTAAATGATATTATTCTGGAAGTAGGGCCAACGATGTAACCGCTACGTTTTCGTTTTCATTCGAAAGCCCTGTATAATCAAAATCTGCAATTCACAACATGATTTTTAAATTTGAAAATTAACCAGCTCGTGCAATTAATGAAGAACAGGAACAGCCTAAAACTGCCGTAAGTAGTCCAACTGAAATTAATTTTCCTTGTAACAGCACGTTCTAATTTCAAAAGAAACTGGTATTAGGTACTGCTAGAACTGTATGAAATACTTTAAAAAGAAACAAGTACCATTGCTACTAAAAAAATCTTAAATTCACAACCATTCTACTGGATAGAAACTGTAGTAAATGCAATTTAAAAAGGCAGGTAAAAAACTTATAATAAAAAAGATGGCCCCTGGCTGTATTTTATGTTAACATATAACAAGAAAAAATGCATATGTTCTTTATAAAAGCGCAAATAGTCAATGTTCTTTGTCTCAAAAACATTTCACGATATTACTCGGTTAAAGTCTTTTGAATGAACATCTGAAAAGAAGAAAAGATATGAAACAGCTCTCTAATAATGATTTAAAAACCACAATCATAAAAATTCTTGGAACAGATCAAGACAAGAGTTCAAGAAACCCAACTGAGGAACTTTCAAATCGACAACCTGCTAAGCAAACAAGACGTCATTTTTGCCCGAAACATAAAGACATGAAATCATGTGATGACTGTAAGAGAGCAAATTGTAAGGAACGTAGTATCACCCTAAACCTTTGTCAAGATTGTTTTAGAAATTAAGATATATATATATATATATATATATATATATATATATATATATATATATATATACGTATTCACTCCCTCTTATTTTTCCGATATCATTTTTACTTGTTAAAGTTTTTTGTAAGTTTACTTTTGTTAAATTATTGTTGTAAAAGTTAACAGTAAGTCTATTTAAATTAGTTTACACACAAAATTGCCTCCCGAAATAATTTGTTGTTTTGGAATATAAGTTTTTCAGTTTCTTATTTGGCTATGGTATAAAAGATTTATTTTTATATAAAATAAATAAAACATTTTGATAATAATAATTAAATTAAATTAATATATTGTCGATAGTAATTAATTCAAATTTCCTTGTTTACTAACTTTGAAATAATATAAACACGTCTTTGTTCTAACCACTTGTGCCAGTCCGTAACTGATCTAGTCTGTTTTCAATATGGCGTCTGGATACTTTTATACTTCAAAGGCGCCGACTAAGAGTGTCCTAACTGTTTGTGGTTAAACTGTGCTATTTGTAGATGGGAATAACGTGTAGTTAATAAAAATATAAAATGAATTATTTAGTCCAGAATTTTGGCCGGATTCTAAACGATGAGTTATTAGAAGAATTAGATGATGATATTAGAAGGTTTGTTAAAGATATTTTTAATTATAGTATCAAAGAATATAGACGCTTATAAGCGTCTATATTCTTTAATAGTATATTATTTATTTAGGTTATGTTTTGTAAACAAAATTATTTTATTGATAGGGATGAAGAAAACATTCAGAGAAGACTTTTGCGAGATTTGGTAAATCCAGTGGAATTAGTGGAAGCCGTATTTCAAAAGATATTTAAGTTATCGAGGGAATTGTCTTTGCATTTGGTTCGAAAGTCTCCAGCCCCATCTAAGACAAGTGCAAAGATCAAATGCTTTAGCACATGAAACCAAGATATGTTGTTTATATTAAGAATTGAGTGAATATATTCCAATATGTTATATTTTATTTACTTTTTATTTTATTATATACTATATTTTATTTTTTTTACCATGGAAAGGTCCACTTTTAGTAAAGTATTGACAGAAGTAACTGATGCGATGGTAGAACATCTGTTGCCAAGATATGTTAAATTTCTTGTCACCCCTGCAGAATGCCAAGCAGTAACAGAAAGGTAAAACATATGTAATTAATGTTGTTCTGAAGCTATTTTCTTGTGGCATTTTAAATTAATTACTATTTAACTGGGAATAAGCCCAATTAAAGGTTAAAATATGTTTATTAACATTTCAATTTCCACTTCAG